CATAAACCTTTGTGTGTGTATGCTTATCTTGTGATATATATATATGAAGTTTCAACAACTCTGAGTGTTAACCAATGTTCCAAACTTAGAATGAGTCATTTCTCATGAGTCATAAGCCAGGGCTTTACTATTCTTGCCTGACTATTCTAGGTCAGATGTTATCTGGATATCTTCCATTGTATTCATATCAAGCAAATGACTGTGTAATTACAAAATAGCATCAGTCCAAGTTTTCAATGAGAAGTTGAATTGGTGTGTTCTCTACAAGACACCGCTCCAGAAACAGGAGAGAAAGAGACAAGAGACCCGCTATATTGCTCAAGGTGCGGAGCAAGACAGCAGGTGGTGAGATAGTTCTGAAGCAGCGCCTAATGGAGAGTCACAGGAGAGTTGTAGGCATGACACAAGCTGAATATAAGAAGTTGGTTATGCTTCACAGATTTCACCTCAATGGAATTTGTGAGTGGCATGTAGCAATGGGTAAAAAAATGGTTTCAGTTCATTTTTTATAAGATGTTGCAATAATCCACATTTGTTCATGTTAGGGATGGAAAGAATTTGAGATTAAAAGGGTGCACATGAGGGTTATGTTGAAACTGACAGATTTGTTCATCCTAGCAAGGCGCTTTGGCTGTTACGCCTGGGTGTGAGTCTTCATGTATTCCACCATGTCTGTAGTGTTGCCAGATCTTTTTTATCGACAACCTCCTCATTTTTATCAGCAGTATATCAGGCAGGTGCCACACAGTTCTCCACACAGGGAACAGTGGTAGCATCCCTCTGTGTACCAGTTGCTAGGAAACATGGGGGGGGGTCCTCTTTCACTCACCTCCAGCTTGTGGGTTTCATATGGGTGGCTGTTTGGCCACTGTGTGAATGGAATGCCAGACTGGATGGACCTTCATCAGCTCTTTTCATGGTCTGGACATCCCTTAAAACTGAGCACACCCTAGTCATTTCACAGAGCATGAAAATCTGTGTTGTTGTTGTTGTTGTTGTGTTTTACCATAGTACAGCTGTCAAGTCATCCGAGCCCAGTTGTGGTATTTCAGTAGGGTATATTTGGTCATTAGAAACCACGATAAGAAGCAACAGTTTGTTCCACGGTTTTCTGCTTACCACAGTGGTTTCTTTTGACATGTGCACCTTGCATCCTGTTCCATGGGCTTTATCTTCAGCTACCACAGAGTTCCTTAAGAAGGGCAGCTTCTCTAGGAGCCTCTCTAGCCACCCAGCCTCTACTGTCTACCCCTGCCTAGTAGCAGACGCAGTGCTCTGGTCTCACTCTTACAAGCTGCTCTTTGTCCCCAACTTCTCTCTTACCTGTCATTTTCTAACTACAGAGCAGCAGTGCCCAACAAAGCAGCTTTGGAGATGACTGCTATCTGCTGGCTGCAGTTTTCATAGATGCCAGCCTGAGCTGTCATGCCTTTTACTTCCATTCCAAAGTATTTGAATACTTGGATAGATGTTGGCATGGGGAAGGATGGTTTAATGCATTCAGGGGTGGTAGTGGAGGGGATTAGATTATGGGTTAGGGTTAGGGGCAACACAGCAAGTGCTTTTAGCAAGTGTTCCTACAGGCAGAAATCTTTTGAAGAAAACAACCTTTCTTATGTTGCTGGCATAAAGACGTACTTTACTATAGAGCAGAGACATCACCCTGCCAACAAAAGTGCGTATAGTCAAGGCTATGGTTTTCCCAGTTGCAATGTATGGCTGTGAAAGCTGGACCATAAGCAAGGCTGAGCACCGAAGAATTGAGGCCTTTGAATTGTGGTGCTGACGGAGACTCCTGCAAGTCCCTTGGACCGCAAAGCGATCAAATCAGTCAATCTTAAAGGAAATCAACCCTGACTGCTCTTTAGAAGGCCAGATCCTGAAGATGAAACTCAAGTACTTTGGCCATCTAATGAGAAGGAAGGACTCCCTGGAGAAGAGCCTGATGCTGCGAACAATGGGTGGCAAAAGAAGAAGGGGACAGCAGTGGATGAGGTGGCTGGATGGAGTCACTGAAGCAGTCGGTGTGAGCTTGAGTGGACTCCGGGGAATGGTGGAGGACATGAGAGCCTGGAGGAATGTTGTCCATGGGGTTGTGATGGGTCGGACATGACTTCGCAACTAACAACAAAAATAGAGGAATCTTTCCTGTTGGGAGGTTTGGTTTGGAGATGTTCAGATCTGCCCATGTTAGATTAAGGACTAAAGTGCATTTCAGTGGGGATTGGGGGAAACGTTCCCATAAGAGCATAGAAGGAGATTGAAGCATGGAAGGGGCTCAGACACGTGTATCTGAGAAGACATGATGTATCTTCTGGCAAGGGATGGGGAAGAAGGACTGGCTTTCATGCTCTCCCAAAGGGATGGAGGGCACGTGAGCAGGAGAAGGATTGGAGGAACTGGCATGTGGGATCAGGAATGGTGGAGGATGGGGGAAACGAAGGTGATGGAGGTGAAGTACAAAGCAGGGACTATCATGGAGGAGTTGGGGAAAGGTGAGGGCCAGTGTGGGGTGATGGTTAGGGTGTTGGACTGGGGATGTGGGAGATTTGGGTTCTAATCCCCACATGGCCAAGAAGCTCACTGAGGGGATTTGGGCCAGTCTCCAAGGAGTTTAGTTGTGGCCTAACCCACCTCAAAGGGTTGCTATTGTGAGGAAAACAAATGGAGTGGAAGAGAACTAGGTAAGTTGATTTGGGTTCCTCAGAAGGGAAAATGTGCAGGATATAAATGCAATGTGATGGGGGAAATTTAACATCAGCAGGACAAGAAAGAAATGAGGGAGAGATAATACAATGCCGGGGCATTCTTGGTGCTTGAAACCAAACCAAGACAAGGAAAGGCAGAAGGTGGGTATAAGCCAGCGTGAATGGATTTCACGGGATACTGTCCCAGTGAAGAATCATGGACCTGAAACGATAATCGGATGGCAGAAGGGAGGTGAGGGGCAGAATGGGGGGTGAAGGAAGACAGCAGGTGCTGGAGAAAGGGGCAGAGCAGGGGGTCTTTGGTGGAAGAGACACTTTGCCCACTGGTGCTGCAGGGAAGTATAAAATGTTGGGTACAGGCATGGTTGGAGAAATGGAAGGCAAAGCATTCCCACACGCTGGCTCTCCATGGGGATAAATGCATGGGGGGAAAACCTAATTGATGACCTCGCAGTTCCTGCAGAAAATCAAGGCTCAGTGGGAGTGAGGACAGGAGGAGTAAAGATGTGAGTAAAGATGCTTTGATGTTGGAAAGAGTGCAATGGAAACGATTGTTTCTGTGATTATCAGAGTCACTCACTGATAGGCACCTTTGTCTATGGGACATGGTAGAAAGCAACCTTTCTTACGGAAAAGGGAGAAAAGGGAGAAGGGATTGTATTTCAGGAGCAGTGGCTGATGGGACATGTGCCAACAGTGAGGAGTCTGAACTGGGAGGATGGAAACAATAATGTAGAAACCACTTAATCATCTGTCAAGTAGATCATGGTAAAAAAAACCATGCAGGGATGCTTGTCATCATGTGCAGGTCTAACTTTAATTCTAAAAGAGATACTGTTGTCTTAGCTACAAGAAACTTGGAGACATTGACTTAGAAAGAGTACCATCCAGAGAGAGAGAGAGAGAATGAGAGGGGTGGGGGGCAAACTGGCTGCGGTGGACACCTTAATACTATCGTACTCCTCCATTGCTTTCACCAGACAATTTCTAATCATTATTTCCTCCTTGTCTAAACTAATGTGGCCTGTTGATCCCTGGTGGATGTAGTTTTGGGTCGACTGACCCCAACTCTGGCAGTCAACAGATGTGCATGATTGCAATTCCATCTTCCCCAGAGATAGTGAAGATTTAGTTCAACACATCTGGAGGATGTCAAGGTTGGGGAAGGATGGTCTCTGTGAGGGGTGCGTGAGGAACCCATTTGGTGGTGGGACTCTGTTGGACTCTCTGCGCTTGGGTCCCCAGACTCCAGTTCACCCTGCAGTGGCCTGGTGTCTGAGTTTCTTGCAAGTGCTCCCAGTGTTTGCACTGCACTGTCCAGGAATTGAGTCCAAGGGGTCTCCCTCTGCCATGTCTGGTCCTGCCACCACCAGCTGCACCAGGTGCAGAAGAAGGCAGGTCACCAGGAATGGTGCACGGTGTAGCCACTCACAGCACCTCCTTCCACACCCTGCAGCTGCTCTTTGGCAAGTTGCAGCTGTTGGGAGAGGTTGTTAGTCGTGCAACCAGGGGACTACAAGCATTCATAGACTTCCTTTGGCTTGGCTTGCTTTGCAGGACTGGGCCAGGCCAAAGAGCAAGTCCTCAGATGCTAGAGGGACAGATTCCAAAAGGCTTCACCCCAGTCCGACTCAGTATATAAACTATGATTCTTTAATGCTCAATGAAGCATTCTTAGCTTTCTTGCTTATTTATTTGGTGGTAGGCATGATTGTGATAAATTCATTTCATGTTCTCTGGCAATGAAGAGGGCTGTGGTCCAACACATCTGGAGATGTTTGGGGAAGGGTGGTTTAGGCGCTTGTGCCGTGACAAACCCCAGTGACAGAATTGAGCTGAAAGTTGCTAAGGATGAATGGAGAAAGGGTAAGAAGAGTTCACACAAACACCATGTCCGGCTGCATCAGTGTCAGGTCCTTTGATGTTAAAAAAAAAAAAATATCAGTAGATTGTAGACAAGCAAGGCAAAACTTGGACTGGCCTGTGAATAACACTCAGGATTTTCCAGCCCTAATTAGAAGTCTCAGATGCTTCTGAATGATGGACTGGAGGTGGATGAGGGAGCCCCCCTGCAGAAGCTAAGCATGTTGGGGTCTGGTCAGTGCTTGGAGGGGGGACCACATAACGCCTCCTTGAGCTCCATGATGGGACGTCACGGTAGCAAATGCAGATGCTTGTTCTTGCCAGTAATCTAATAGATATTTATTTTAAACCAACAGCAAGAACTCATGCTTTGGAGACGCACGTGGATGCGCAAGCAACTTGATGTGGGCATCTGTTCTCTCTTTTCAGGGAGGATCTGCGTTCTCTCCGGTGTCAGCAATCAGCCCAGAGAAAGCAAGCGCACAAGCTGCTGTTTTGGCTCAAGAACTTGGCTGCCCTTCGGCCAGCAGTGAAGAAATTGTATCCTGCCTCCGCCAGTTGCCTGCCAAAGCTCTCAACGATGCACAAACCAGGGTGTGCCTATTTCTTGTCTTGATGGCATGGTTCAGTGGTGCGGTTTGCACGGCTTCCCATCCGTGGTGGGGCAGGAAGAAATGCTGATCATCTTGGATTTTTAAAATTTTGTTAGGGGAGATAAGACTTGTTCAGTATGGGGAATTAGTACAGCCATGAAGGAAGCAGGATAAAGATCTACTTAATTTAATTGCCATAATTACTGTGACTGGAACATTTCATCAGTTCATTATCTAGGTGTAGGAACACATGCAGTTCTTTTGTACATGGCTCTCAGCTGAATTTCAAAGGTCCTCTATGGGCTATCAGTTCAGACTTCTGGAAAGTCTTCTGGTGGCAGCCCAGTGGGCAGGGAAGAAGGGAGGAACAGAAAGTGGTGAGAACGAGAAAAGAGGAAGGGTCTGCAGAATAAAGGGAGAGAGAAAAGGTTGGCCTGCCCATATTTGGTTCTGCCAGCGAGTGGACCCAGAAAGATTAGCCATAAAAGAAACATAGAAACAGAGTGAGTCAGAAGGGGCCTCCCAGGTCATCTAGTCTGACCTGACTCCAGCCGGCTCCTCTCACAACATGCCCACCATGTGCATGTCCAGCCTGTCTTTGGACACCCTCACCGATGGGGCCTCAATCACCTCTCATGGAAGCCCATTCCATAATGTAGCCTTTGAGCAGAAAAAAAAAAAATCCTTTCATGGTTTGATTGATTAAAAAATGCCCTGATCAGTTAATTGGTCATTGTACACACATGGACACCCATGCAATGCAAGCACTTATAAGCCCCATCCTAAAAAGAGGGATTCCTGATTTCTTAACAGGGAATGCTCAAGCATCTATCCTTTGCAATCTGTCCTTTGCATTTAACTGGAGGAGAGTTTTAGTTAATGAAGAAGGCAATTGTGTGCTGCACAGGACTTTGCTGCAAGTCCTAATGGCTGTGGGTGGCTCCAAATTTCTCGTGTGGCTCTTTCCCTTTCTCATTCTCTAATTCACTCCAGAGCCGATTCTGTGTTCCCTACACATTGCTTGAGGGAACATGGGATCCTTCCAATTCTCACTTCTGAGGTTGGGGACACTCTGCCTCCCTGCCACCACCCGGGCACCTAACATGGGAAGAACCACACTGGCTGCACTCTCAGGTCAGGAAAGTCACCTCGGAGTGTGGTCCAAGGGGGTGATTCAGCAGGTAGGGAAGTGAGGAGACTGGGGTGGCTGGCTGGCCACCAGATATCCGGAAGCCATTTCAGCTTCCTTCCCTGCTCCCTTCAGAGAGTTAGTTAAAAGGGCAAAAGAGCCAGTCTTGTGAAAATGCAGGGCTGGGGGATGGAGGGTGGTGAAGATCTCCACCACTGCTCTCCATTGGCTACCCATAAGCCTGTGAGTTTGGGGGCTCATGCCATCCAGCTGGGGACATGCCCTCACTCCCTCTTGTCTGAGCAGGGCTTTCCTAGGTTCCTCTTACTTGCGGTCCCAAGCACTCTGAAAGTTTCCCCCATGGCTTGCTTTAGCAGTGGGCCAGTAGCCATGATCTGGCCCACCAGAGGTGTCTTTGGGACACATCAGCTGTAAGAGGGGGCTGGGCAGGTGGAGCGTAGAATGCCAGAGCACTCCCCTAATTTGCTGGGTTGGGGCTCTGGGAGTGAAGGGCAACACCGCCGGGTGCTTTGCACAGGACTTGCAGGAGACTGTGTGTGTGTGTGTGTGTGTGTGTGTGTGTGTGTGTGTGTGTGGCAGGGGGAGAGTACAATATGGCAGGGGCAGAAAAGGCCAGGAAAGACCCCCATGGCAGTGACTCTGGAGATTCCTCATTGACAAACAGCAAAGACAACTAGGTCTCCTGGCACCTACTTGCCATAGAACTAAATGGGGCTTATTTCTGTTAAGAAATGAACCGTTAAATGTCATTCAACTAATGAGTCTAACTCAGGGCTGAGCAGAAGGCAGATCTCTTAGTGCATCCCTGGGTGACTTGTGGTAAATCAGCAAAGATTTCTGCCGCAAGCCTCCAAGTTTAAAAGGCGTGGAATAAAATGAGTCCTTTTGACTCTGCATTAAATTATATTACTGAAATAAGAAACATGCAGGGAAGTGGTGCAGAAGTGCATGTGAGCTCAGTTAAAGCAAAAGTCTGCAGCTTGCATTCAGATGTGGGTGATATCTTGGCATCTTACTAAAAAACCAAGGAAGATCTCACAAACCTAATTTATATCTTTCTGCTTGTATACCATGCAGAGAATTCTGATTACATGATGGTATAAAGAAGCAAGCAAGCAAGCCTGAAATATGCCCTCGCGTGATTTAACTGTGTAAAAAATGCAGTATTTATAGACAGACAAACAGAGGGACAGAGAGGGGGAGGGAGAGAATGCACTCCCACATATTCCATATATCCACTGGCATGCTGGTAGCTTCCCACCATCCCCTGATAGTGAATTGAAGGAGATGGGGATTCTTCAGTTCACATTTCCATGCAAATTTCTCGATTTGCCCTTCTCAGATCAATACATGGACTGAAATGCAGGGATCCCTCTATATTTATCCAAATTTGTCAGTGGGCTTTGTAAAATGTTGATAGAACAGCAGCCAGAGGGACCGTGGAGAAGAACGAATGGTCAACTATGGAGAGGGAGGAAGGACCACACTGTCATGAGCTACGGTCCCTCCCTTCACACATTCACAGCCACAGACCTTTCTTGCAACATCTTCTTTATTGACTGAAACATTTTCCAGAAGCACATGCACCCAGAATGAATTTGCACAGAGTAGCTTGTTGAACCCAATCTACTGTTTACTTCTAGGGACACTCCTTATGAGCTGGTTTGGGCCCCATCCTTTCGAGGGGAGCCTTTTGGAAAGGAGCACTCCTCCTCTTTACACACCAGTCCTCTAATTGGGCCAGCCTTCTCTGCTGAGATTGCATCCTGTGGTCAAGAGCTGTATCTCCCTCATCTGTTTCTGAGAAACGTCCTTGTTCCATGTCCCTCCACTCTTGCAACTGTATATCTTGGTTATTCCCAGAGGCTGCTGCCCACCAGGGGAGTCTGGCCTTGAGATAAGAGTCTCCACTACTCTCTTCCCAATGTCCGGAACTAGCCCACATTCCAAGGACCTCTCCTGCTCTTCCTCCTCCTCCAACATCCAGCTGGCACACCTTGGGAATGCATGCCAAGAGTGCTGCCTTTCTCACTCTCAAGGCACACTTCTTCCAGAGTCAGTGTGTATAAGTGTGTGGTTGGCAAAAGATCAACACAGCCCCATATGACATGGGATGAAGAAGATCTTGGTACAATTTATGAGATCAGAGGAGTCCAGGGTGTTAGGACCAACCAAAATTTATGAAATGTGTGCCAATATACCAAATATAAATAAATACAGACACCGGCTGCAACTGGATATTTATTCTTTTTATTTGTATCCCAAATTTCTGTCAATAAATAGCACATCATCATCAACAATTTTCAAAATACATTTCTATGCTGCCTTTCTGTAATCAATTAGGGCAGTTTACAAAAATTAAGAAAACAAGAATGATAATAAATACCACTTTGGAAACAATAATTTTAAAAGTCAGATTAAAAAGATGCCTCTTTATCCCCTTTCTAAATGCAAGAAGACGGAGAAATATTGCTCTGTGCATCATTTCATGCCTGAGGAACAAGGAGAATTTTGGGCAAAACTCCCTCCAGCTTTTCTCATTCCAGAAAATGTCCGTAAGTCAGCCTTCGATGGTCTGGCTGTGTTTATTCAGTGTTCACTGCCAGGGGCCATTTATGTCTCTCTGCCCTACTTTCTTGGCCACCACCAAACGAAGCAGCAGCTCGGTCCTTTCCCTGTCTGAAAACAAACTATCGTTTTGCTCCCATTGCAGCTTTTAGCTATAAGTGGCCCATTTCAGTACTGGAGCCCAGTGGTGGATGGATCCTACCTCCAGGATTCGCTCACAGCAGCTCTGCAACGTCCTCGACCTTTGGAGGTGGACCTGCTCCTTGGAAGTGCCCAACAAGATGGCCTGATCAGCCGAGCAAAGGCCATTAAGGTAGGAAGAAAGAAAAGTAGAAATTAGAATTGCTGTTACAGTTGTGGAGATAGCCTGACCGAGAAGTGAAAGGCCAGGCCTGTCTCTGTTGACAGAGAACCGCACGCTGGGGTGAAAATTTATGCCATTTCCACATGACTCCCACACAGCACTCATCATATGAATTTCTACCATTCAAATAAAACCAACCTCCTAAGCCTTTCAAAGCTATTAGTGTGGTATTTCCTAACTTGGGTGATGTCCTAGAAGGCCATACCTATCATCCCTCAGCCAGCCAGGTGATGGATGCTAGGAAACACCAGTGCTTCAGTTGGTGGCCACTATTTTCATTTCCTGGAAGTCCACAGCAGCGGTGTTACATAATAATGAGGCATGTCTGTTTCAGGAGTTTCTGAGGATCAGGAAGCCCATTAAGGGAGATGCTGTGTGGTGATATAGTATCACTCTTGGTGGCTTTGGGGGGAAGGAAACAGCCACCTGATGGCCACTGTGAGCATTTATTGGCAGGGAACAAGGAGTTGTCTGCCCCCTCCCATGCAAATTTAGCCCTCCCACTCAAAAATCCTAAAAATGCCTCTTCTCTCATCAACTGTGGGTTGATCTGTAAAACCAGAGTGGGAGGTTAGAGCAGCCAAGCAAAGTAATTGTGAATGGCCACCTTGAGACTTTTCCCTACCTCTCGCAAGAGTAACTTAGCCTGTTCAAATGGACCAGGCTGGTACTGGGTGTTGTTCGGGCCTAAATGTCTTATGGCAGGCAAATTTAACAAAGGCTCTTCTTGACCCATGGGCTGCAGTTGTGGATGCGCCCTCAGAAACACCAAAAATTTCAGAGAGAGCTTTGTCGCTTCATCTGTATGGTGATCTATACACCAAAAGGGAGACCATGTTTTTCAAATTAAGATCACGAGGGACAAAAAATTGGGAAATGTGCTGAGATATTCAGAAGACAGGCAGCTCCAAAAGTGTTGCTTCTCCGCAAAACCCAGAATCACTTCCTCTTTGCCTCCCCTTTTCAACTCCCTCTTCATTCCTTGCCTTCTCTGTTTACCACCCATGCTCTGTACTGACCTGTCACTAATTATCCCATGTGATTGTCTGCCTGAGACAGCAGACGGAGAGGAATGTATCTGGGTTGTTCTGAAACGTCCCCAGCAGCCGACTCATTCGTCTTCTTCCAGTACCTCCCTTGTTGCAGTGAACTGTGAAGAACAGATCTTGCAGAATTACTCATAGGCTAATGAGTTTATTTCTGCACTAAACCGTCAGAGATAGCTTTGAAATCCCAGCCTTATGCCATAGGTATGTTTGTGCAAGCCCCTTTTTGTCTCCACACCTCCCTGTGTGTTGGGCTTTAGGTGGAGACACATAGAACAGGAGATTGACAAGGAAGTCCGTCAGCCATGATGTGGAAGGAGCACTACCAAAGACTCAGTCACAAAAGTGGCAGATAGACGTATCAGTTGGGATGTGTGAGGAGCCAAGTAGGAGGGTCAGAATCTCATGGACTGGCCAGCTTGGCCCCAGATGTTCGTCTATCAGCCCGGTGATCGACTTGGTCTGACAGGAGATGAGTCAGAACATGGTTTTCAAAAAGTGTTTCTTCTACTCTTGGTGCAGGCCACAATTTGCGTCTGCCTGCCTGCCTGTCTGCCAACTGAATTTGCATAAATTCTGGCTGCAATTTGTAAATTGTGGCTGGAATTTATGCACATTTTCTGGCTCAAAGGATATACAAATCATGGCCTGTTGTAAAAGCTGCAGGGAAAAAAACCTGATCTGTATCCCTTCCGGCAAGGGGTTGATGTTCCATCAAGCACAAGTGAATCCACATTTCTCGGGGTAGCTCATCTCCACACGCCAGTGAATGAACTGCAAAAGTGCCATGGTCAATCTTGCCAGCTACCAACAGTCTAAGTTTTCTAAAGTATTCTAAATGTGTTTGCCCATGCATTTGCCGCGGTCACCTTCATTTATAAATATACTTGTATGTGTGTGTGCGTGCAGCTACCAAGCAGCCCATAAAATCTGGAGTCTCTGCCCACTGTGTGTGAAAGAACGTTCAACAATGCCCTGAAGAATAACATCGCCAGGTCATAGGAATTTCTGGCAAGGTACCAAAAGGTGGGCTGGGTGGAGAAGGTGCGAAGGGTGACCCACAGCCTTCTGTCCTCCCATTTGCCAGTTCGGGACCCTCTCAAGACTCAGATCTTGGTAGGGTTGTTTTATTTACTTACTTACTTTCTAGATCACCCAACAGCCAAAATTCTCTGGGAGGTTCACAACAGAGCATTAAAAGTAACAATAAAAGAGACATCATATTAAAACCCTAAAAAGTTTACAGTACAAATTCTTAAACCAAATTTTAAACAGATTCATATCTACAAAATATGAACTAAAATAATAACTTTAAAAAGCTTAAAACATATTTAACAGATAGCAAGCTGCGCTAAAATTCTTGAACGTCCTGCAGTAGAGGATAGATTTTACCTGGCACTGAAAAGATACTAAAGTTGGCACCAGGTGGGCCTCAGTGGGGAGTTTGTTCCACAAAGGGGGGGGGCACTGAAGAGGCCCCTCCCCTTGTAGCCACCATCTGAGCCTCCCTCAGAGGTGGCCACTGGTGACAGGCCCCAGAACGTGATCGTAGTGTCTGAATGGATGAAGACTGGGAGAGGCATTATCAGGCATTGTGGTCTCAAGCTGTGGAGGGCTTTCTAGGTTGGAACCACCTCAACGTGCATTCAATGGCCTGACAAGACCCTGGCAAGTGGAGGAGGTCCAGTGAGGCACGGTGTGATCTTCTGGGTGCAACGGTGGCCTGTGGGAGAGTGCAGAACCTGCCACCGAAAGCGATCTCCTTTCCCCAGCAGAAAAGACAAAGCCTTCCCTGATGCTCCTTACTGATAATGGTGCTTTCAAGCAGGGCACACAGAGTGGTAAATGCTCCACCGGCACACGGAAAGGGCTAGCTCACAGGTGGCCTCTTCGAAGAGCGGCAGCGGCTACTTTTGGAAGAGGCCGTTCATGACATGATCTGCAGGAGGGCGTTTCTCCCTGCTCTGATGGCCAGCAAAACCTTGCTGGGAATGACAGAAACTCCGTGCTGCAGTCCATCTCCTGTAAAGTGGCACTTGCCACTTCGGTAGACCTAGATACTTTCACTTCTGTTGCTGTGGCCTTCCATGGAAAGCCAACCCACATGCAAAACCCCACAGAGAAGTCGCAAGGGGAAGCATCTTTTTGCGAAGGTCAAATGTTTTTGACAAAAAGAGGCCCCTCGTATGCCTAAGCTGTTAATCTGTGTGACTCAGTCCTTCGTCCCCACCATCTCCATCCTTGGGCACATGAATCGCTGGGAAAAGCCATTGCTATTTCTCGTGTAGCTTCTTTGTAGGGTGGGTTGTCTCTGTCTTGTTTCCTATGCTGGACTGTGGAAATATTTCAAGCTTTTCTGATGCAAACCAGATGCCGTGCCTCTAACAGAACCCATCCAGAACAAGGCCTCATTCTCAGAAGCAGCAGAAGGGTGGTAAATGTGTCCCTGGGTCCAGTGTTTAGGCAGGAAACAGAGGACAAGCAAATGCTTCTCCAGCTGCTCCCTGCACATGGAAATCTGGAAATGGGGGGAAGCACTCAGCCCAAATTTCTCCCTGATCAGCTTGTTTTCTCTGTGTGGGGATTCCACCCCCTGGGAGATTTTCAACCATGTGTGATCCCATCTGCCACCTGTGTGTTGTGGCAGTTAAGACTGGGACTAAGGGGATCCAGAATCCAGTCTCCACGCAGCCAAAGGTCCCACTGAGTGCTTTTGGGCCAGTCACTGATCTCAGCTTAACCTACCTCACAGAGTTGTTGTTGTGGGGATAAAATAGGGAGGGAAAGGACATTATAAACCATCTTAGGTTCCCTGAAACAGAGAGAAAGACCAATATAAATGCAATGTAGTAGTAGTAGTAGTAGTAGTAGTAGTAGTAGTAGTAATAATAATAATAATAATAATAATAATAATAATAATAATAATTGCATACACAAATTTGCCATAAGCAATCTATCCTTTCTTAGAACTGGGCCTAAGTGTCCACAGTACTTTTCAGTGTAGAAACCAACGTCATTTTGTTTGACATCAGACCAAAGATAAGAAATAAAGATGGTTGATTAAGAGGTGTCAGTTTCTGGAAAGACTGGGAAAGAAATCATGCGACGCAAAGCTTGAGCCGTGGTGCTCCTTCCCCGCCCAAATAGTGGTGCAGAGGGACTGATCCGCTAGCCAGTTGTCAGGAAGTGAGTTTATATCCAGCCCAGGAGTGGGAGAAATGGCTTCTTTGAAAACAGAAGGTAAAGAAAATGCGCTGCGATGTCATTTGATGCCTGGAAAGAGTGGGAGAAAGCTATCCAAAGAGTCTTGGCTCCACAGAGAATGGGGGCGGATGGCTGACACCATCCACAGTGGCTGGCTGGGCTTCAGGATGAGCCATGTGCCCCACATGTCTCCTGGCAAGTTCGATCTGTGCTTATATATTACTTTAGCATTCCTGCTGGCTGCAAAACCCTTCCGTGCTCTAGGCAGATAGGCTAAACGCTATCCATTCGTTTATTTGTTGGCTTTGTTCCCCACCTTTTTTCTTTTTTAAAGAGCTTGGAGTGGCACCACTTTAAAGATAGGACCCTGTGTGCAGTGCATAACAACAGGGGTGGGTAACCTGCGGCCCCCGAGCTGATATCATGTGGCTCTGGCCGAATGTTGAATGCTGCCTGCCTGTGTTCAGCACAGACACCTGGCAGGAGTGACCTGTCCCTTCTCTGAACACCTGCTGGGCTGGAAGGGAGGGAGAGAAAATAGCAAGGCAGAGAGAGAAAGGGGTACCCCACCTGCTTCTGTCTCAAGCCCTAACCCTGGCTAAAGCACACACGGTGCCAACAGGTAATCCCCGCAGATTACCAATGATGGGATGCGGTTCCTGTCTGGGGCTCAGCAGTTTGTCCATCCCTGCATGATAACAATGGGAAAGGGCAGAAAGCAATGTTTTCATAATTCCTAGAATACTGGCTTTCTGCCAGTTTCTTTGTTTTGAAAAAGGGGCGAGGAATGTCCGTCCTGTGGGATAGGCTTGTGGTATCCTGGGATCCAGTCCACAGTCCCTCCTCCCCAGCTCTGCTCCTCTTCCTTTGGCACTTTGGTGCAGAAAATGCCCCAATTCCCCGCAACACCCCTAACACACACACCTGGGTGTCTGAATCCTTCTGAGTGCATCATTTTCTCTTTAGCGATTTGAAGAAAGCCAAGGCCGTGCTAACAGCAAAACAGCCTTTTATCAGGCTCTGCAAAACTCTTTGGGTGGAGAAGATGCCAATCCTGCCATCCTGGAAGCAGCCACCTGGTTTTATTCTCTGCAGCATTCCTCCAGTGAATATGCCTCGTTTTCCAAGGCTTTGGAAAATGCCACTCGGTAAGAAATTCTCTTGCAATATTCTAACACACTTTTTATCCTTAATTTCCTAAAGACTCAGGAAAGGAAAGGAAAAGGAAGGAAGAAAAGCAAAGTATGTTTTCTCTTTGCAAGCAATTACTCCTTATACGTGGGGCCTGCAATGAATTGTTGCAGCACGAGGAACTCCATGCTGTAAACTGTTGCAGCATCGAGGCTTGATCCAGCCAGCCATGCCTGTTTCAGGATAATTCATTCCATTTCCCACCCACCCAGCTCCATTTTCCACTTTTTCCCTTTCCATTATGTGACCGTGCCTGGGCAGTGCCACTCTCCCATGGAAAATCTGCCCATGGAGAATAAGTTTGCCTTCTTAGCGCCTTTCACACCTGTCCTTATCCGTAATTCCACTGCTGATTCAACCAGCAAGCTAATCTCTTCCCCAAACTCCATGCTGGGTTTTTACCTTTAGTTATCAAAATGATGCTTGGCTATTTAAGCAACCAAGCATTCACTGATGGCTTTGATTTGCACGCTTATTTGTTTGCTCATTCACTTTTCTAAATGAAAGGATGTTTGAAAATGCTGCTGAAGTCCTCTGAAAAGGGTGGGTACAGGGACCATGGGTCCCAGCTAGTGGACACTGTGCTTGGCTGTGCATTGCGGAAAAACTAGCAAAGTCCAACTTGTGTTACCTTGGGCTTGAAGAAGACGGAATTGGTGTGACAAAGAGGCATAGGAACAGTACATGAATGTGTTGATGATCTCCAAATTCTGTTTTGAAGCTTGTTCATATCAGGTGACGGCTTTGTTTTTTGTTTTGTTTTGTTTTTGCATGAAAATACCTGGGGCATATTTCCCCAGATGGAGAAACAGATGAGTGCTTTCTTCTCCCACTGTCTAAATAACACATGTGTACATTTTTCTCCAAAAGCATACATAGTTTCATGCACATTTTTCATAGCTGAACAAGCTGTCATTTGCATTTTTGTGGGTTTGCAAATAACAGTGCGAGCTCAGAAACGTCTGGACTTCAACTGCAGGCTGCATTCAAGTTCATGTTCGATCCGGGAGCATGGAAAAGAATTTCTGAAGCGATTTTTCTAGTGACAAGCGGGTGAGAAATGGTGACTGACGAGGCAGTGCCCATCTTTTTCGTGTGCATTTGTGCATCCTGACCTCGAGCTGGGCCTTGGCATGCCTCCACTTGGGAAGGTTCTCTTTTTGTAAAGGCTGCTGCTTTCAATGACGGCTTCCCTTTCATAGGTCCTTCAGCTTTCCCCGCAGTAGCAAGCAAGTCTCTCAGGCATGCGCATTGAAAAATAATGCACATACACACAAAGCTAATTTGGGATCTTTATAGAGGAAACGCTGGGTGTCTATTGCTCTAGATAGGCCTTGTGGTAAAAAAAAAAAAAAAAAAACAGGCCGTAGAGTTTGGTTTCTTCTGTAGATGATGACTGGAGTTTGAGGAGGAAAAGCTGTTTGTTTATCATTCAAGAAGGATGGATCCTGTGGAGGAAAGCAGGGAAATACAGCTTTCTCCAACTCAAGGGCCTGACAGAAGTTTAGGACTACAGTTCCTGGCGTTTGTGGCCAAGGTCATGGTTGAAGCTGGTGGAATGAAGTCCTAAGCACCCGAAGGCTGCCAGGTTGAGGAGAACCATCGTGGGAGAATAATGGGTGTACAGCAGTTTCACTGCACTTGATAGAGGGAGCAAACTTGAGATGGGGCAGCAGATTTTGATGTCTGCATGTAGAAAGTGAAGCCTTCAATAAGATATATTAAAATGATGCCTTATCCTGGAATAAAATAAATCATGGCCTGCAGTCCTTCTGGCAAACTTTGATGGGGTTATAAACTCTGAGAAGGAAGTCTGAGCGGTTACGCTGTAACCCACGCATACTGGGTCTTGTGGCTGCAAAGTATTTCTTTCATTTTCTTTGGCTATTCCTGTGTGCTATTTTTGCAGGTTTCGATCTGAATCCATAATAAATACAAACCCCTCATGAACCCCTCTCCAGGATTTCAATTCCTATTCATTTTTTTTGCAATGGCTTCCCACCCAGCTTCCATACAGAAGAGAAGGCAGGACCCAGAGAATCCTCGAAGTATAGTGCACTTGAACTATGCATGAAGTATAAAGCCCCCGCACTGCCCCACCCCAGGTGCGGCTAGACATTCACTGCTTAGGTTTTTGTTTTCATTTCAGCAGACCTTCCTCTTCCACGCTGCCTTACCGCCCTCAATTAGAGCAACGGGTTTCTAATCGCCCCACCCTCCTCATCAAAACATTTGTGGAAGGCAAGAAGTGACTGGAGTCAAAATGTAAACAGAGGCATGAGCTGAGGATGGGCTGGGAGAAAAGTCGAGTTCATATCTGCCCCATTCCCCCATCCGCCTTTCTTCCCCTCTCCTTTTCTCTTGTATGTTGTGTCTTTTTACATTGCAAGCCCGCAGGCAGGTGTGGTCTTGTTTTGCATCAACTGTGCCAGGAGCATTTTTGGCAGAGAAGAGGGATAGAAAATAGTTTCGAAAGATACACAGACAGCCCTTCAAGCCCCTTTCCTTGAAGGAATCTTTCATGGCAGAATTCCCACTGATCTGAGATGGGAGATAGCAGTGAGGATGGGCATTTCTCCCAGAGATGGACAAGCCTTCCATCACCCACTTCAGGGCTGGGCAAAGCCCTTTCTCCACAGAAAGCAGGTCTGGGGTGAAGACACGCATCATCTTTCCCATGGCGGGTTCAGAGGGGAGCTGATTCAACCCCATCTGATTTATGGCCTGCAACCTTGCAGGCCTGAGTCCTGCAGCAACCTTCCTGGGCTTCAGGAACTTTTCCCAGCCAAATCCAAGATGCCAGAGACTGGGTGTGGGATGCTCAAGCCAAGCAGTAATGCCCTCGCCCTTAAAGGATGGTCATCGTTAAAGGCACAACCTCATGCCTGTTTTACACAGAGACAGATCCTTGTAGGGGAATGGCTGGGCAATGCTGAGCAATGGAGGAGAGGTAGTGAGAGCCTGGGATCCTGGAAGATCCTAATCCCCACTCGCCCATGGAGCTCACTGGGTGACTTTGGGCCACTTCCATTCTCTCAGCCCAACCTACCTCACAGGGTTGTTGTTGAGGGGAAAAACTGGAGTAGAGGAGGACTGCCTTGAGTCCATTGCAAAGGAAAGGAATGGGGGACATCATGGCCTTTGTGATGAATCTGGGACTAGAACCTGGATCTCCCAGGTCCCCTGTCCAACACTAGAACCATCACACACATTGGCACTCAACTGAAAATTGAACTCCAAGCCCATGTGCCAAATCCAGCTCACCTGGGGTCCCAGTCCAGGGCTTCAGGAATCTCCAGAGAGCTCCTGCCCTTTTCCCCAACCACCTCAGTTTGGTGGTTTCTGGCTTTTGCACATTTTCTCCTGCCACCCCTTCTAAAGGCCTGGCTATCAACAGTCAGAGCTTTACAATGCAGTGGGGTTTGCGGCACCACCCCTTTGGAAGGGTTGCTGAGCACCACTGACCTGCTGCCCCAGAGAACTTTTCAAAAGGAATTTGGCCCACAGGCAAAGAAGGTTCCAGAGTGCTGCCTCAACTGAGGATGCATGGAATTGAATGTGGGATTGTCCTGCCGAAGGGCAGACGGCTCTGCAACGGATCCTTTTTATGGGGCCATCTTAATACAGCTGCCAAACAAGCTACAGGTTCATTTCATGGCTGCAGTTTTGAAGAGAGTCCTTGAAATGTTGCTTGCAGCAGCTGCAGCAGAAGACAGACCTTGTGGTTTAGTGGCTAGAGTGGAACAGAGACCTGAGAGATCAGCTGCTAGTCCTCAGTAGACCATGAACGTCCCTGGGTGGCCACTGGCTGCTCACTGGGTGACTTTGGCTCAGTCACTGAGGAGAAGATGGAGCGGTGGAAGGATTGTGTACGCTGCCTTGTTCCCTGAAAAAGGAAAATTAGAGGGGTAGAATAGAGGGCCTGTGTGTGTGTAGAGGTTGGGGTGTTGGGCTGGGGACTTGGGAGATGCAGATTCCAGTCCCCACCCAGCTGTGAAGCCCACTGGCCATCACTTTGGGCCCATCACTGACTCTGTCTGACCTGCCTCGCAGGGTTGCTACGTGGATAAAAGGGAAAGGAAGTAATATAGATGCAAGACTCCACAAACCTTGGGATCATAAAGTCATTGTGTGGAAAAAGGATAGGAAGATTATGAAAGCCACCTTGGATTCCATGGAGGAAACAGCAAGATCTAAATATGTTCATAAATGTTAAAAAATGAAAGACTGCCAGAAAAAATCTACACAAATTGCAAGTTTCTCTTGAGCGAAATAGCAGGACAGAATATCAACAGACACCTATATAGAAGTGTACCTCCTCCCGCGTTCTCCTTCAGAATTTTCCCAAGGCAGAATCTGGCAAAAATGGGCTTGTGCCCATTTTTCCTTTCAAAATGATCTCTGCATTGCAACATTTTGTGCCCATTTTTCCTTTCAAAATGATCTCTGCATTGCAACATTTTCTCCCATCACAAGCCCCCACTATGTTAATACTTCAGCAGACAGGAAAATGTGCTTGAAAAGCCATAGAAAGAAATGGTCTTTGGAATCTCTAATCAAGCTGGTCTGAGGCCAACACATATAGAGAAATGACTCATATTGCTGAGAAATAGCATTGTTCCTCTTCTTAAAACAAAATTAGAGCATCTCCTTCCTGCGTATTTGCCTCTTCCAAAGCCACACAGATGGTTCTCAACTTTAACCTCTAGCAATGTGAATTCCAAGCATTTCTCTGAAGCTCTGAAAATCTCACATTCTCAGCAGCTTCTATAAACACTAGCCATCAAATTTCAGAGTCGAAAAGAACTCCCATTTTAAAAATAGGCATAGCTTATTATAATTGCTGAGCATCACAGAGTGATCAGGCAACCGTGTGGTTTTGTGGTCTCTCCTACATGAGAATTTTCAAAGCCTAAAATAATCTTGCAGGAATTCATAGGAAAGGGCCTAGCATATGTTTCTAAGAATTTACCGTTCTTTTCCAAAAAAGGCAGCTCACTTCCTTCCAACTTGACAAAATAAGGATGACAGGGCGATGCTTTCTTTCCCATCCCTTCACATCTGTGAGACAACAGCTTCCGTTAACCCATCCTTAGAATGGCCAATGCCCTGAGCTATGTTGGCTGGGGATGATGGGACATTTAGTCAAGCCCCTCTGGGAGACACCAGGTTGGGGAGGGTTGAGCAAGGCATAGAGGAATCGGAGAAGAACTTAAGGCTTTCTAGTTCTGGTGTAGCAATCTACGTTACGTGTAAATGTCCCTCTATCTTCAGGAGGTCATTTGGCACTTACCCCTTTCCTTTCCAACTCTTCCTCCAATTCACCTCCCCGCTTCCCAAGTAGTCCCACAGTGGTGTTCAGCATGCAGGGAAGCACGCATTTGGAATCCTGAAAAAAAGAAGAGATTGCTGCGGCACATGTGAAACGGTGAACCTGAGGGCAGGGAAAGGGTTGAATGTCTTTTCCCTCTGCTCCTTTTTTAAAGCCAGCTTTGGTAAATGTTTTTGTGACACAGTAACTGTAATGCAATGAATGACTGGGCAAGAAGTCAGGGCTCCCAATTGTCCCAGGGGCCCCTGACCTAGAAGCTCCACCCTCTCCAGGGAGACATGGAGTGCCTCGTTCACAGGAGGCATTCATGGAGAGGGTGGATTCCTACCTGTCAGAGATCCCGGGGTGGCATTCTGCAGTGCAGGCCCTACACTGGCTGGATGACCTCCGATGTTCCTTCCAGTTCTGTGATCCTATTAACAAATCCATCACGGCACCCCCTTTTCTGCAGAGGATCCTTGGAGAGTTCCTGGGCACACAGTGGAATCACACATAGCACCTTCCAGAGGTGGGGCATTGCAATCGCCTTGTATAAATGAAGCGCCCCGTAGAAGATGCCAAGCAGTCCTCCAGTGCTGCAGATTGCAGGGGAAGGAAAACCAGATGCCAGGGAAAGGGGGTGGCTCCATTACTGACCACCTTGTGGATTCCCAGGCAAGCTTCCAGGGACCCCCAGACCTTCCCAGTAAACCACCAGTCTGCTCTCATCATACCTGTTCTTGGTTCCGGAGCAGGAAGAGAAATGCTTAAAAGACCCTTTGAAGTTGCACGCTCGCTGTTCCTAGCATGGGATGCAGTTTCCTTTTCTGTTTTTCAGCGACCGCTTTATCATTTGTCCCACGGTAGACATGGCCAGGCACTGGGCTGGTAATGGCAGAGGGAATGTCTTCATGTACCATGTCCCAGACAGCTCTTCACTGAGCAGGTAAGAGGATGAACACAACTCTGTATGCACTGATCTTAGTGGCAGGTGGATGAGGCCAAGGGTTTAAATTAAAGCACACCTGCTTGATCCTCAGACTGTAAACTGAGACTGTAAACTGGGAACCAACGTTTATTGGTCCTCAGACTGCAAAATCCCCAGGCTTCCTGGTCTGTTCTTTTCTGTTCCTTCTTTGGGTGCAGGGTGCTGTCTTTACCTAGCATCACCCAGGTGTGACTGTGACTGTTTGGGCCACAAACAGAGGCGGCAGGAAGGGATAAGGTGTGTGCTTTTCCAGGCACCAGCACTGTGGCTTGACTCGGATGGAAACTCAGGAATAACTCAGCTAAAGTCGCCCTGAAAACAGCTGAAAGGAAGGCTGTCTAGTTTCTCTTACTGTGGCTTCAGAGCTTGTAAAACTATTATGTGCACCTCTCATCCTCCTGTGCTGCTCATGCTTAACCAGCGGGCCACCTTCTGGGGAGTCCGACTACTGGATGTTTCTTGTGCCTGCTGCGATCTCAGCAAAAATTACTCCTATCCCTGCCTCCTGATTCTCTTTTAAGTAGAGATGCCCAGGGCTGAGTTTGGGACCTTCCAGAGACAAAGTGGGTGCACAGCTGCTGGGCTGCAGTTCATGCCCAGCCAATATTTGTCCATTTAATCTAGTATTGCCTGCTCTGACTGGCAGCAGCTCCCCTGGATTTCAAGCAGGGAAGAGCTGTGGCAGAAGGAAAAGGCTGCAGCTCTATGGCAGAGCTTTGTCTGCAGGAAATCCCAGGTGCAACCCCCAGTATGTCCAGCTAGAACGCTTGCCTTAGACCCGGGAGAACCAAGCATTGCTGCCAATCAGTGCAGCCAGTGAGGAGCTAGTTGGGCACCCTGCTCTGATTCAGTGGCTGGTTTCAAGCAGCTTGAGAGTCCACACTCAAGGCTTCAAGTATGGGTTGAGTGTGGTTAGTCCGTGAACTGCAGGTTGTCCTTGAAACATGGGTTGTGTTGTCTGAAGCCAACCACACTAGCAAACCATGGTTTGTTACCCACAAATAACTCTTTATTGAACCCAACACATTGCAGAAATAGATTTCTGTCATTGTACTTTCCATACATGCTTTGTGTAGTTTTTAGGAGTGTTTTAAAATGTTAATACTTTGAAATGACATTTAGGTTATGGCCTCTGAGGAAGGAAATGTTTTTTAAAAAGCATTGGGCTCAATGCAGTTTTTTTCCCCAGACACCTGATAATATCTTCTATCTTGCTTTGAGACATGTTAGTAACTTCTCCTCTTGATATTTCATCAGTTCTCATCTAGGCATGTAAATTAGCATATGCAAATATGCAAATAAGTACTCTCTTTTGTCCTCTTTTATGGTGATGCATTCCCCCACCTCCCCGCAGTGATACGTAAGAGATGCCTAAACCTATACATAGCTACAACTCAAGTTAAATGGGTGTCCTGGGCCAGCCCCACTGAAATGACCCCCCAAGTTGCACAGGGGCATAACTGTGATCTTACAAAACCCTTTTTTCAACAGATGTTTCCAGTGGATTTTCACCATTTAGGGTGGTGCAAGTGACTAATTTTCAATTCGATTTTAATTCTACCATTTACATTTAATTCATGCATATCAAACCTAAATTTTCAGAATGAGGCATGCTTTTCCGTCCAGAGATACATCTTTTGTATAAGTATTCGTATGTCATGTTTTTCTGGAAAGCAAACTGCTGATAGGTCCATTCCCATCCAGAGTGGTAGGTGCTTGAGACTGGAAAATCTGGTAGCTTGTTTTCTCCCACCGCTCTGCAGCAGTGTTTCTTTTCAAGTAATTCAGCTATGAAACCAGTCCAGGCTTGATGCCAGCGCTTGGTCACACGCCCCAAGAACGAACACCAGCTCTGGTCAGAAGTCTCCTTTTATTTGCTTGGCACAGGCAAGAGTTTCAGACCATGCGGCTGAACTGGGCCCTGCCAGCAGTTTAATTCACCCAGAATGCCTTGCTGCATGTATGTACAGCAGGGCATTCTGGGGAAACAGGAATTGTGTTGATGGCGGGTGCAATTGCACAGGGCTGGTGCACCTCTCAGCACTGCTGAACACCCACCGCTGTTGGACACCCTCTGCTACACCCCAGCAAGGCTAGCAAGCTTATGAGGGGACCATCACACCGGGCAGGTGACCTGCTGGGGGCAGCTTGTGGGGTGGACCCTGAGGGCAGTTTGTCCAGGGTCCCTCAGCGGGCGAGGCAGCCCCGAAGCCATGCTTAGTGCTTTCCTTGTCTGCAGAGCACATATTCCCAGGCTAGCCTTCTGAGCATCTCTGTGGCAAGTATCAACCCTATTTGTTTCGGTAGCAACATTTTCGAGGCAGCCAACCCTGCTACCAAAAGAACCCACTCACCAAACATGCGTGTTTTGAAGCAATTTGGCAGCCTTTTGTTCTTGAGGCTGCATTTTGCTTCTCCTTCATCTCTGCTGTATGTGCAGCAGGCCATTCAACTCCTTCTTCACATGGGGCCAAATTGTCCAACGATCTCCAAGTCCACTTTGTCTGGTCCTGTTTCATTGCTTTGCTGCCATCCCATGTCGGACCTCGAAGCCATGCTGAGAGCCAGAGTGGTGTACTGGTTAAGCAGGCTCAGGGACTCAGGAGATCTGGGCTCTGGCCCCCTCTCAGCCGTGGCACTCATCAGGTGACTCTGGGCCCGTTGCTGCCTCTCAGCCTGACCTGTCTCACAGGGTTGTTGTTATGAGGACAAAATGGAGAGGAGGAGAACCTTGCAAGCCAACTTGGGTTCCTTGCAGGAGGAAGATAGGTGGGTTATGTACAATGTGCTGGTGCTGGTGGTGATAGTTCCATCTAGATCAGTGTTGACACTGACTGGCAGCAGCTATCCAGGGTTTCAAGAAGGATACTTTCTTAGTCCTACCTGGAGATGCCGAGAATTGAACCTTGGACCTTTGCATGGAAAGCACATGCTCTACCACCTTTCCTGGCTCTGTCTTTGTGTCTGCCTTAAGAACGGCTTCGTGGAAGGAGGCTGGCTGGAGTGATGGAGTGTGAACCTGCACTGAATCCACGTTGCCAAAAGCTGCTCTGATCTGGGAGGAAATTGCAAGTGGAAAATCCGCATAGAAGCAGCTTCCTTGCTTGAAGGAGAAAGTTATGGAATTTCCATACTGTAGAAAAGCAGTCCTAGTGGCCCCTCTCTGCCAAGCTGATGTGGGTTGGCAGACGCAAATGTCTTAAAGACGCAGTGCAGAGCTGCTAACCAGGCTCCAGAAAATGCTCGCAGCGTCTTCAGGAATGGTTTTCCAAGGCTGCAGGATTATGGCTGTGAGGCATGGGGGGTCCACAGCTTAGTGGCAGAGTACAGGGGTCACATGCACACGGACCCAAGTTCCATCCTTGGCATCTCCAGTTGGAACAAGGTGGTAGAACTTGTCTTGAGAGCCAAATTCTGGTTTGCAGAAGCTCTCAAAAGTCACCTTCCAATGGGGTTGGGAAGGGGGACTATGCCTTTCACAAGGCAGGGTGAAAGGTAAAGATAGGAACCCCAGAATACCCCATTTTAACCTAAAGATCTTACTGCAGGTGTCTAAGCTTAAGCAGAGGACTTAGTTTTTATTTTTTAGTTTTGGAACAGGGAATAGTGCACAGAACTGGGAAAACATTAACTGGCGGACACTCGGGAAAACACTGGGACTTGGGAAGGGGGGCTGGCCATCTGAGGAACCGGGGTGGGGCCTAAAGTTCCGCACCCACCTGGCTGACAGGCAGTTCTTTCTTCCATCACCAACTCTGGTGTCTCACGGGAACTTTGAACTAAAGTGCATGTTATCTTCGGCACGCTTTAGCTGCTCAGGGACAGATTGGGGGTTTTGGCTGCTGCTGCTTTGGAGATTCACTTTGCTTCTTCTCCTTCTTCTTTGTCTCCTGCTCATGAGTTGAACATCTCTGTCACATTCCTACATCCCACCTTCAGAGCAATGGGGTGCTTGTAGGGTTCTGGGGCTCAGCTAGGCTTCAGATTCTGGAGATGGAGGTAACAAAGTTACTTAGAAGTGTTTCTGCAATGCATGTTTTATGAACAGGCTGAGCAAAAGAAGGGAATTCACAGCATTAAAACTGCAATAGAGTCCTGGTCACCATCAGATTTCTAGGACATCCATAATGCTATAAGTTTTCCTGCAGACAGAAAAGTCCCTTCCTTTCCAGAACCAATGCAGCACACACTAACTTCACACTACATGTACAGATTTCATTCCCCGCCCCAATCTTAAAAAGCAAAAAGCACCTTCAGCGCCCCTCCATTTATCTTATGCTTTTCCTTAAAATATTTATAATGTTTTCTGGGTTTATACTATTCTTAGTGCTTATAGCTCCTTTTAATGTTGCACCAAAGCAAAGCTAGATCTACTGATGGTTTCTCTAGAATAAATGGCATTGTACTAAAAGAGGAGACTGCTTTAAAACTAACTGGTAGACATTTGTGTTTGTGGTTGGCATCCAGAACACCTGCAGAACCCAAAAGAAAAAAGATGATGGGCTCTTACTGCTTTCCCCCAGCCCATGACCCTCATCCTAACCCATATCTGCAGGCACTACGCTGCACAAACACCAAGCCATCGAGTTCATCCCAGTGCCCCCTCTCGCTTGACACCCGGGGTGAGCACCTGCCTCACCCTGTCCATAAAGTCAGGTCTGTTTGGTGGAGGAAAAGATGATTCAACTCTGCCATCAGCTGCACTTCCTTGGACCAATTGTCAGACTGGTGCTGAAACACATCGACCACAAAGTGACGGACTGCCAACTGCCTTGTGTCAGGTATTGCCTCTTCTCACTCATAGCGATAGCACCACTTATAGAAACCATAGAGTCATGAATTACAGAATAGGAAGGGATCATAGAGTGGTACAGTTGGAAGGGGCCATGAAGGGCACCGGGTCCAACCCCCTGCTGTTGCAGGAAACCAAGTTACTCTAACCCACGCAGATGACTGTC